ACAAGGCGGCGTGAAATTGAAAGAGACTTATTCATATCATTTTGGGAAAATTCAACTTCTAGGCCTTCAACAAGTTAAACTAAATAAAGTGAATATAGCTCTTATATTCAGACGATGAAAAAATGACATTTGAAGTTTCCCATTATCATATAACTATGCTTCCTGCTTTCATTGAATTTTACATAGCAATTCTTACCAAAAGGTATCTCATCCAGTGTGAAATGCAGTTTCAACCGCCAGTTATCATCACAACCCCCAGTGGAACTTAAACCCGGACAGTGCAACATATATTTTCGAAGCGTTAACCACTATGCAACACCGACAACTATCTCATATAATATCTGCTGATACACTTGAAGACCTACTTATAAACAATAAATAATCAAGAATCCCTAAATAAAAACACAATTATTGCTATGTTTATTTTGTGTGTAGGTGGTATAGCGTACACAATTAAATACAAATAATAACTCAAAATTCCATTTATAGCTTAATTGGGCATAAAGTACGATAGATCAATAATAAATGATAAGACTTAAGATATATATTCAAAATACCTGAGATATATGACGCCCCACAAGTAATTGCGGAACCAGACTGCAGACCCAGCATTTGCCTGGTATTTTCGGATGAGAATTGGATGAGGTACAGGTAGAAGGCCAACAAGAGTTCCGTTTTGTAGGAATCTGAGAATTTCTGACTCATCTGTGAGACCCCTTGGGACATTAATAAGAGGGAAAAAAGGGAAGACTTATCATTTGTAATATATCAAAACCTGAGGTTTAAGGAATAAAAAATATGTGGGTATATAAAAATGTCCTATTAAAGTAAAATGACTAACAAATGAAAACCATTTAATAATTCCAAAAAGAGAAAGAATAAATGTTATTTTCTGAGGAATGTATGAAGATGAATTATTTTGGGAACCAATGTCAACGATATAATTAATATACTCAATTCTTAAATAATCTGGTGCTTAAATATATAGGACTTAAAAGAAGAGTATCAAAATTAACTCTTCTTGGAAATATATCTATAAAATAAGAAAATATAATATTTTCACAAAATCAATACAAAAGTTCGCAATGGCTATATATATTAGACTATTAGTAAATATTAAATAAAACTTTAGTCAGCCTGTTTTGTGAATGGGCCTTACAATACCTTTGAATTTCAATTAATCTTTTCTCTAAAAAATTACTCCCATAAACAATGGGCTAGTTTCAACCTACTCATTACGAATACGAGTAATGTTTTCTACTATAATGGAAAATACACTTTAGCTACCTCGAAAATACCACGATAAAAATGTGAGGTACTTTAAAAGTTACATCTTCCCTGTGACCCATGGTCAAAAGTGGAAGTGTGACGCAGCAATATGTTGAAAATGGTGCTTTCTTATCTGGGTTAAAATATCGATGGGGAAGGGATAAGGCCCTAACAAGGACGAAATTGCTGACCATCCTGGGAGTTATTTACCTTTAGGTGGCAAGGCTAAATA